CTTTGTTGAGATGGGGTAGGTTTAATAGCCAATAACAAACAGAAGGTATACATGGAAACTTGGTAAATTATCCATGGTTTGTCATCTTCAGGGATACTCTTAAAAAGTTAATTTCCCCTTGTAGGGTAATACACTACAAAAAGGCAAAGAAAATACCTGCTAGAAATGACAGTCCGGGGTTGGGGGCAGAAGGAAGAAGTCATACTTTCACAGATATTTTGCAGAATTGCCAGATGGGGTACTGTCTGAACTGGAGATATAGTAAAGTGTAAAGATAAGAACGATTAAAACACAGATCCATCCCGGAGCCCTTCCATTACTAACCTAGATTATCGTAAATGATTTTAGGTGTGTTTGTGATCTTTATGACTCAAATACTGGTGATGTAATGCTTGGAATTAGGGGAAGTGAAACAAACATCACTCATCAAAAAAATTATTCTAAACTTGGAAATAAGCAAAAGATATTAATGGTTATCCTGTCGGTATGGTGATGATTTTGAATTTCTATCAACATGGCTACTTTATACTTCTTTAGGTATAGTGGTTAACTCGTCAGTTTTTATCCAGTATATTCAAATAATGTCTGTCCAATGAAATAGATTGCCTCAATGTTTATGTTTTATTATACTGTAAAATAATCAACTAGTTTTGTATCTAGCCATTTGATTTGCCCCAATATTTATTTATATGTTTCATGTATTATTAGCATCTCAAATGTTCTTTGGATCAGTTTTAACATTTTACTGGTGCTGTCATTAATTAATGAGTTGAATAAAATCTCTGACTTGTTTATTGTACCTCTGTTTGGTAGTTAGATTTTTAACTCTTTCAAAATTACACTTTAACACTCTAATGACTTTCATTAACTCTCAAACACCATCCTATATTCTAGTGAACTGACCTAATGGGACTTAGTTCATTGGTAAATAATCTCATGTTTATTATAAAAACTGAACTATTATACCCATCATTTGTCTTTCTTGTTTTTTATAACCATATCACCCCTACACCCAACTCCTAATATGGTCAATTCTTGTTTTTTCATAGGTCCCAATCTATGCTGGTATTCTTGACTTTGTAACAAGTCATTTGTCCAAGTTAGCTTTGCCTAAGCTATTTAATTAAGCAGTAGGCGATTAGAAAAAAAATATTTAATAGGTCAAATTTCTCTTACTCTATCCTTATCACTCGGAAAGCGGATATGCAAATTGAAATATAAGAAATTTTACATTGATAATACACTGAGTTCAACAGAGAGAAAAATATTCTGAATGTCTTAATGAAGGATTAAGTTAAATGTTGAAATAATAGTACCCAAAAGCAATAACGGCATTAAAAGATACGCTACCAAGAAAAAAAAATTAAAGAAAAGACTGAAATAGAACAGTCATAGAAAATAGTTTTTGAAAACAACTATTGTTCTGCTTTTGCTGTTTGTGCCTACAATATGACACTTTCCAAGAGTGACAGCCAGCAGGTTTCTGAACATTCACAGATATAATTTTTTCTTAAGGAAATCTTTCTTTCCAGCTATGGTCAAATTTTTCCTCATTATCCATATCTTCATTAAAGCAAAATGAATCATTTCTAAAGATTATTATATATAATTTGAACATTCTATAATTTGTTATTATTTCTCAATTATCCTTTCATGCAACCTCATTGTTATTTTTAGCAATTTTATTCTAAAAGATGGATGAAAATACTGACATTAAAAGAAGTTAATAAAATGAAATGAGAAAAATTAGGAAGGTTGCATAATGGAGTTTAAGAATGCTATATTTTCTACTTGCTGACTGAATAAATATCAGTGTTGACTAATATAATCTAGAAAATTGTTAATGTTCTTTCTACACAGTGACTGATAAATAATAGAGAATATAGAGTTAAAATGGAGAAGAAAATATAAATGACACAAATTTCTATTCCTAATGAGAGTTTCTATATTATGATATTTAATTTAAATTAAAAAAGTAAAATCCTGTTCACCTGAAATGCCACATTTTTGGTGAAAAGTTGTGAGAAACACTAAAAATTAAATTAGCCATTCAGTTCCTATTTATGTTCCAATGGGTCATCCTTCAAGTTTAAATTTATGAGTAGTTTTTCTTAAAAAGAAAATTAGTTAGTGACAAATCAATCATTGTTGATATAGATACCTTTAAATATTAACTACTATAAGCTAAATTTTTTTTTAAATGGAGGTCAGATTTGGCCCAAGGTCACACTAATATATACTCTCATCGTCTACTAGTGACATTTGCTAAATATTACCTTGGGCTACATTTTTAGCATTCCCTCTGGCATGCTGAGATTAGATGTGACATTTCTTGGCCGGAATAAAACACAAGGTCGATTCTAAAGAATATAATACTATATTTTTCCATGCAGTTTTTATTTGCTTATCTATGGTACACAGGCAGTTCATTTTAAAGCATGGGGCTTATGAACCACTACTTGCGCATGCTAAATCCTTCTTATAGGATGCCTCCTCACATTATCCCAGCCTGTATGACCACTTCCTGAGCCCTCAGCAAAATCCCTGAGAAAATAACCACAGTGGAGGTCAGAATTTGCAGCTCCTACTGTAAGAGGTTGAGGGAATTTATCCTCCCACTGCCTAGGGAGGGTTATAGTTTCATCAAGGAAAAAGTTTCCCACTGAGATAATGTTACAAAGGATGACTGGCATATGAAAATCCACAAGAGCTATTATTCAACTCTATTATAGGTTAAATAAGATTTTGTAGCACATGAAACAAGTATCAATTATTTGTAAAAGTACTTAGGAAAAACAACTCATTTGTAAATTCGTAATAGGAAGAACAATTTAGAAATGTCATGAATTATGTTCAGTATTTTGTTGTTCTTCCTAGAACCTTAAAAGAAATTATGTAATAATAATCATAAAAACCCACCTTTGGCCTGAGAGCCAGCTTTGATCTCATAATCACCCTGTTACATCCACTTACCCTGATTAGAATCAATTAGTAATTGAAACATGAAAATATACTTGAATTTTGCTCTCTGAAAGAAATGCAAGGCTTGTAAAATTCAAGCATTTTTCTCAACCAAACATTGGATACTTACTCATTAAAACTAAATCCCAAATCTTAAAAACCACTAATAATCTCCAATACAAAGAAGACGGTCAACTTAAAAATTAAAATGCAATTACAATTACTTTTCTTGGTATGGCTATTGGTTGAGAGCTACATGGCACAATAAAATATTCTAAATATGCAATTATGAGTTTATTTTGTTTTAAACTAGGTCTTACCTAAAAAAAAAAAAAAAAAAAAAAGGCACACCTAGAGGTGGGTTTAGGATCCTGATTATCCCAGCCTGTATTTCTGAATTTATCAGTAATTCAAATTATCTGAAAATGTGAAAATAATGCCCTCACTCCTTGATTTAAATATTACCTACAAACAACAAATACTATTAGGAGAAACTCAACAAAAGGCTAATAAGTACACGTTTTCTCTGAATGCAGCTTCCTGTCTGTGTAGGTGTCTAGGAAACATATCTTGAAGGAGCCTGAGCTAGGCTACTTCAACTCTCTCTGTTAAATAAAGTGACTGTCGATATTTGGGCTGAAGCTATAGAGCACTTACAGCTCTTCATATCTATAAGGAGTGCAATGAGCCATCCAAGCTAACTCAGCAGAGAGAACATTTACTAACAAAATGATTTTAGAGACCCATTGACTTGATGGATGTCTGAGATTGTGTAGAATAGAGGAGCCCATGATGAAAATGGTAACAGATTTGAGAGCCTTTAACAGGCTCCTTTTATTCATCCTAGCATGGTTTATTAGCATGACACAAGCTCCCTGTTCTCTCTCTCTCTCTTTAATGATACTGTGCTATGAACCAATGAATGTTTTCATTTGGAAAATAAGAAAGCATTGACATATTATCTGAACTGTGGTTTCTTTAGTGATGCCAAGGGAATAAATATGCTAATTCTGCGCTTTGAGGAATGTACTGGGTAAGGCTCATTACTTTACTGATTTCAGTGGATCCTAGGCCCAGGTGAGAAAAGGTTAATATTACATACCTTGGAATATTTCACTATGCAAAAGTTCTGACATGGAAAATGTGAAATTTCAGTGACACTCTGATATACTTTTAGATGGTGATTTTCATAATACATTCTCCCAAGTAAAGTTTAACTTAAATTATGATACCTGAAGCAATTCACCTCAAGCTATTGCTTGATTCTTCATAAAAGAAGAAATTACTATGAAAAGTCACCACATAAATATTGAAATATTCATAAAATTTTATACAAATAATTCTTTTTCATATAGGAATAAAAGACAATCTTTTTCATACACGTGTGAATGTACAAAAACACATTCCTCAAGAAAATCCTATTTCCTAGAAACACTAGTGCTTTTAGGGCAGAAGTGAATGCCAACTGGGAAGAGTTTTCCTTGGCTTTAAAACTGGAACGAAACAACTCTCAACATTTGCAAAACATTCCTTTATTATTAGAAATAAATTATTTGTATAAAAATTGCATGCGTCAACCATTGCATTTATTTTTAGCACAACCCAGGGCTTCAATCCGGTCAGCCATTACAAGAAACAGATTCATTGTCTTATACAAGTTGAACAATGTGGGACAGGAACGGGAGTTCTCACAATCACAGAAAAATACTTACAAGAATAACATCAGACATGATTTATTTCAACAGCATTTTTTTTCCACAAGCTAACATTAGTTTTCCTTTTGTGATTTTTTGTTTTTAACTGCTCATGAGTAAGCAATACTTTAGCTTGACACTCATTGGTTGCGTTGTATAAAATGGGTTTCTTCACTCTGTTATTGATACTTTGGGCTCATGGCTACTTTTTGTTCCTTACAAGATTGACTATTGATTTGATTGATTGTAGTCTACAGAGCTTTCCAGGAGTGAGTTTTGGTGGTGTCATGTTCATTGTTTAAGATCACATACCAGATTTTTTCATTTTTTTCATATTTCCCTGTTTCAGATTGAATGATTGCTGTAGCTGATATATGTTGTCTTGGTAGAGGAAGCTGTTAAGATAAATTAAGACAAATTAATAGTATATAATAATAAATTATTTTGTTAAAATTATTTTAAAATTCAAATCTTATTTTTACTATGTTACTTATTATTTTTCAAACCGTGTAGTAGGAATTCAATAATAGTAGGAATAAAAATGCAGCGGCAATTTTAATCGGTAATCCTACTAGTCTTATTTTATAGTAGAGGTATTTAGCAAAAAAAAAAAAAACCATAAAAGTCCTCATCTTTAATAAATTTAGATAACATTTAATTTAAATGTGTACTCTGATTAACAAATATTTGCAATATGAGAAAATCAAAGAACAGATAAGTTACCTATCCTGCAAAATACAAAAGAAAAAAAATGTTTTTACAAGCTTAGTTAAAAACTAAATTCTTTGAGTCTGCTTTGATGACCGAAAAAGGGTTAGTAATTATAATTAGTTGTATTTTGAAAATGAATTTATCTTCTATTTAAAGATAATACTTTTAGTCTCTAAAAGGAAATGTAGTAAAATATCAAGTACATAAAATACTTGAAAATATTAAAGTAAATATATGTATTGCCAAAACATTTATGGTGTGCTTTCATCCAAAAGGTACAAATGGAGATGTTCAAAAAAAATAAAGACTCGAAGAAGGAAATGAATATTTAATTGTTTTAGTAACAACTTACTATGAAATAAACCTATTATTGTAAGATTATTAGAAAGATATGAATAACAGAATATTTCAAGTTTATACTCATGCTTAAATTTCCCGAGGAAATAAATCTAAATCCAAATAATTCCTTTGGGTTTTTTTAAAGCTGTGATGAAATAAATCTTCATTCTAAAATTCAAACGTGATGGCCTATTTTTCAGTGGATTTCTGGAATGAATAATCATTAAAAGAAATATATCAAAAATGCAAAATATACACATATTTCACTACATAAATCTAATTCAGGATGGAACAGATTTTTAGAGAATAATTTAGTTTTTGAACATCGAATAAAGAAATTATAAAGCTCTTCCTCTGAAATAATTAACAGTCAGACTCATTCCTTTTTAGCATACATCACCATTGGTGATTGTCCAGACAAGTTCTTATGAGAGACCAAGTTCATGTGAAGTTCACAGTCACTAAAATTGATGCAGATAGCCCAAGAAAGTGTTAACTGTAGATGTTTTTGCTATTTTTGGTTTCTTTAACTCTTATGAGCTTCATGCCAAAAATAGGTGACATATCTGCTTATCTACATCGCTCACGCTTATTTTAGGTTATTTTTGTGGCACAGTGGAATGAAAGTAGATTTTAGATCTGGTTTTATATTATATTCTGTTTCCTACAAGGGTTCAGTGAACCAGGTCACTGGTCCTCAGTTTCATCACTGGTCCAAAATCCACAACACTGGGTTTTTGTGAGTATGAAGGCAGAACAGTTTTGAGGGGGCTGTTGTCTGAGAGAATCAATATAAAACCCTGCTTCTCTACTTACCCCTTCCAAAAGGTAGGATGTCTGTTATGTTTGGTTTGGTGTGAAGTGAAACACAATGATTTTTATGCTTGTTTACTTTTATTTTTTTAATTTCTATTTCTGATTTATATACTGCTTTCATATGCTTCTAAATTTCCTCAAAGAAAAAGTCTGTACTTCCACTATGTTTCTGAAGGAACTTCATATAATCTTTGTAGACCAGATAAGGAAAAATTATCATAAGAGTTAGAAAGAGACCCTTAAAAAGGTTGTTCGATTTCATGCCTTATACAATACATTCAATAGTAACTAAATATGTAGGAAATATTATCAAATTTGTGAGTAGCTAGAAAGAAAAAAAATATGGTTGAAATAGAAGAAGAGCCAAAAGACCTTGAAGAAAATGATATTCAGATGTGAATTCAACAGAAAATGATTTGGATCAGGGCATCTTCAAGGATCCTTCCAACTTTAAGACTACAGCTAATTAAAGATTCATATTTCCTTTTTGAACTCTTAGAAGTGAGTTCCAGGGGAAAAGATGGCAGACTTCTACTGAGAATTGAGACTATAATTTAGAAAAGGAAAGTAATCTTAATTTTTCTAATATTTAGAGAAGGTGGTGCAAGTCTCTGGAAACTGATGATTTTAGGCAATATGAAGACAATGATAAGGGACAAATCTTGTGAATGGTAGATATTTTGCAAGAATCTTTATCCCCGAAGTATCACAGAGCAAAATGGATCAGAGGTGTACATATGAGCTAATAGGGAGAGTTTTACAGCAGTAATGAATATGCTTATGTGAAAATCTGTTTTTGAATACAGTCACAATGACTTGCCTGTATACACCAGGCTGTGTTCATAAGCTACAGAAAGCAGACCTACCTCCAGCAGCAGCTGTTTTCATGAATTATTTATAAATATAGCTTAAGGAATACCATGTTACTGCACTTGTTAACTGAGTTGATCAAATTCATATGTATCAACTTTGTTTCTAACTCCCTTCCCACACTCTTATGAAACAACACTTGACCTTTTTCTTTGTTTGTTTGAACTGTAGTAGTCTGAAAATTCAATAATTAACATGGACTCATTGGTCTCCCTTCCTGTTTCACACTACTATATTTACTTTGAAGCTTTAAAACCTTACGTGTGTGATCAGAATTTGGGGTATTAACAAATCATTATAAGATTAAGTTTTTAAGTATGATGGACTTGTAGAGCTGTTCCATGACCATGAAGGAAAAATAGTGCATGTATATCATAGATACACAGCTAATTGGTCAGAAAAAAAATCTCAACAATAGAATGGTAGCCATAATTATCAAAATCTTCTACATATTAAAAAAAAAAATAAAAAGAGATGCTAAAACAAAAGTTTTTGAATTTTATGTATTTTCTCTTTTCTATTAACCGCAGACCAATCTATATTTTCATGGCAACAATGATCATTTTAACTTTATAGAGTGATTTATAGTTTACAGAACACTTTCATGTCTGTCATTGCCAGTTCCTTGTAGTAATGATTTATCAAAAGTCTCGTAGCGGAAAGTATGAGAATGCAGCAACATGGAACTGTTCCAGTGCATAAACCAGCCCAGGATTCATTGAGAATAGACTCTGCTCATTTCAAGAGGAAATATTTTAAATCTCAGGAGGCACGGCACTAGTTTTTGACAGTTAAATGAAAAGGGCTTCCAATATTCAACTGTATTTCTAAAGACATAAAACGTACTTTTAGAAGACAAACTGCATTTAAGGGATTCAAGTTATTGGTAGTTTTAGAGAATTTGTGATTTTTGAAGACTTTTGACTCCCTTAAAACCACTGGTATGTGCAATAAATGTAACAGGAACACAAGGAGTCCATGACACCTAGTCACGTAAGTGAAAAAAGGTAAACAATGGTTACTTAGAGTAAAATCATGAGAGGATGTGTGATTTCATACACTGTTTCTCCTGAATGTGCAAACTATAATCAGTCTATCTGGTCTCAATTTATTCAAATCCAAACTACTCCTGTGAAAGATGGATACACTAAAATCTGCAAAGTACAACTTAACCTTCTTTCAGGTACTAATTGACTTGATCTTGATTCACCTTTTAACATTATATTCCAAAAATGAGCATCTGACTCCTCCAGAGTATTATAGGCTTACCTCCCATATAGGCCTCACAACTATAATCTTTCATTCTTATTCCAGAGAAAATAGGGAAATGCACACATACTATATAATTTCCATCTCATTATCAATAAAAAATAATAGAAGGAACACAGAAAACGTGTGAGACTTATTGCTCTAATATGAGATTAGTCTTTATTAATACTGCACATTTTCTTCTTCAGGGAAGTTATTTATTTCTTAAAAGGGTGGAAAAAGGTTATTAATATTTTTGCTCACCGTAGTGCAGAGGTGAGTCTGGGATGACTGGTATTTATTTCACTTTATGTTTGATCGTTTCCATTCGCAACCATATTATATAAAGTTTTCTGGGTTGCGGCTAAAAAACAAGTAAAACTGTAGACCCTGATGTATCATACTGAGAAATGCCAGTGTTCAAAGTGTATCATTGGCTAACAGCAGATTATTGGCACCCTACAATAGGTTTTAACTTCTTGTGCTGATGCTTTCAAGGCAGAAACACACAGATAAAACTCTTCAAAACACAAGCATATACTACTCTGATAACTTTGAGAGTAGTTATAGTATGTCTCTTGCTAGAAGCCCACTAGGCCTATTATTAGTAAATTGCTTACTTATGATCAGAGATGATTATAGCAATTTATTACCAAAACTCATCCTTATTGTGCCTTCTCTGGCAGTTTCTCAAAGTTTCATGTTTTCAGAAAGGTGATTATATGGGGACTGTTTGGAGAATTCTTAAAGGGCTTCTTTCTCCACAAATAACTGGATTTGGTATTAATGAGCTGAAGGTAATTTGGTATTAATGAGCTGAAGGTATTAATGGCTAATAATTCTAATAAGACGGAAAGTAATTGAAGCCAATAAGTTTAATTAATCAATACTTATTTTCTAAGGATATTCCCACATATGAGGCATCACAGTAGGCAATGTTCATCTGGAAATCTTGATATAAGGGAAGGTTTTGAATCTCGTGAAAACTATACATTGTTATAATAATTAAATCAGATAAAATTAACTCTTAATTTCCTTATATTTTGTGTCAATTTAAAAGTACTGAGACTAGGGGATACAGCCTGCTGGAGGAATCTGAGAGGAAGAAAATATTTTTGGCATAGAGTTTTATACTTAATCATTAAACATCTATGTTATATTCCCAAAATATAGGAAGCCACTCTAATGCAAGGACCTGAGCTTTTATTTCTTTTTGATCCATCTACAGAACTAGTAAGGTAAGGTTTTTTTTGTTCATTTTTTACTACACTCAGCTTTCTGGTATTTTATAATACAAATCTTCAATCTATTTGCTACTCTTCCAGAGATAATCAAGATAGACTGACGAGATCAGTTAAACTCTACTGTCTTAGCTTGATACCAATGTATCATTATCATGTTCTTCTTCAGGGGTGGACTATAAAGAAGAGGACAATAGAAAGGAAAGGCATGGTGGAGTGGTGGTTGCAGAAAGAATTCTATTGTCAAGGTCATGAGGCTTCCAGGGAAGAGCTCTAATTATCTTTATACATTCAAGAAGAGAAACCAAGGGAAGCTAAAGAAGGGGACCACTTGGGGGAAACAAGAATTAACTATGACTTAATCTCACATCATCAGTTAACCAGTTTTCTCATTTCCCTAAACATCCAAATAACATATCATTTATTTGCATAAGATCTTTGATAGTACGTTCCATAAATGTTAGTTTACTATTAATTCTACAAAGAGCAACTAATATTGAACTAACAAAGATTAAAAAATAGTTCCCAATCCCTAAAAGATAATTTTATAAATGGAAGACATTTATAAATTTTATAAATGGAAGTTCTACACTTCAAGTTCTGCAATGCCTCAAAAGAGAGACCTGAGTGTGATATACTTTGTAAAGAGATTTTGCGTGCATGGTTATGCTCTGGAGAAGAGCCAAGTGCCTTGAAATCCTTTGGTTCTAACCAAATGGTTCTAACTGCCATGATGGCTTCATGGTGTACAAGTGCCATCATGCCCCTGGAACCACGTAGCACAGTCCCCAAGACTAGTAGAAGAATATTCAACGTACATCTATTACGAAGTGCTCCCGCTCTTGACCATCGGAAAGTCTACAGATGACTTACTGTTGGTTTCAAGACTCTCACAGAGTTCACTTTTCACCTCGCCATTTGGTCTGTCATTTCCTTTTTGGATCAGTTTGCTTTGCATGGTGGCAGCTGTCACCACAGCCTTGAAGCTCCTCTTGCGTTTTTGAACATTCTGCTCTGGATGAAAAATTATAATATAAACCTTGGGCATATAGAGCATGCCCAGAGACACCGAAGCACTTAAACTCATGGAGACAGTAAGTGTTGTTGTCTGGATGTACATCTGAGGAGAGGAAAAAAAAAAAAAAAGAATCAATGTTGTAAACCTGATCTAAGATAAAGCAAATAAGCGAATAACATAACCATTTTCTGAAATTATTCCAGCTTCTCTGATAAAGGTGCATGAGGAGGTTTATTCCCACCTGCAAATGTGGGTAAGGTAGTATTGTTGATGAAGCCCAATTCTTTAAAACAGACAACATACCTATGATTACCATTAACACCTGTTCACTCTAATAATAACTCTGAAAATATGAAGTTGTAAATTGTATCAGGCAATCCCAGGACCCAAACTAATTGTGTTCTTTTTCAATAAAAGATCTAAAAACATTCACCTTCAAGGGTGAATTCCTGAAAAGCCTAAGGTTGCCTTTTCCTAGGGGAGATGGTTTCTCTTAACAGATGGCAAAGTCTTCAGGTAAAGAACTATCTAAACCATGAGGAGAACTTCAGGCACGAGTAAAGAGACTGTCCCTGTCCATGAAATTATACCATGTAGATTATTACTAGGTTTACTCTTCAATTCATCTACCACTAAGGCTGTCCTTCTGCATAAGACCCCATTATGTGTTTGAGAATACACTTATGGGATTTGGTTTGTTTCAAAGTTCATCTCCTCCAAGAAGGTCTATCTTAATTATAATATTTTTGATTTTACTCCTAAGCATTAATACATTTGAAAATGAATACAATGGACCACTTACTAATGTGTAACTATGTGACTGTAATCATTTATATAAACTTTGTAGTAAATTACATGAAATGTACAACTAGGACATATGCTTCTTAGAGCCTATAAACTAAATTTTTTCTTATATACCTCTAAGGAATTTTATAAGATTCTAGACACAATAATAAGTCAGAAACTGCTCATTTTTTGTAGGTATGTGGATAGCTTTAAGAAGACCTGATTTATACAAAGTATAATTTACCCAAATCGTATAGAATATGCTTTCCATAATTTTCTACTCTGTCAAATGAACATCAGTAATGGCTATGATACATGGTTGATGACATTTTAAATGAAAAAAACAAAACGATGAGGTATGAATCCAGATTCTCGCTTGGGCTCATGCATATTGGGCTGATGCACACGAGCCTCAATAGAGATCTAATTCAAATACATCTGTTAGCAAAGTGATAAATTACTACATGTCATGACCTCTCATGCTACCTGCCATTAAATGAAACCTCACGTTAAATCTGAGAGAATTAAGTTTATACAACAATTTAAGAAGGTTCTGGTAGACTGTGGGTATGTGCCTTTAAACCTCATAATTCTCCCTAAGCTCTGCCACCTACTGTCAAGCAACTTATATAAATACTTATAAGCTTCTCATGTGTTGGTTAATCCTCTCTGAATTTCTACTTATTCTCCAGATAGCACTATCATGCAGAAAATGGGCTGCAGAGAAAGGACATAAAGACAAGGAAAGGATACAGCCAAATAAAAACCACACATGTAAATATTCCAAGGCCACTCAAATAGGTAACCATCAGTTTTGTTCCAGTCAGACCCTGCCAAGTCAATTTAGCTTAAAAACAAGCAGACAACAAACAAACAAAAGACCTCCAGAAGTCAAGCAGCCATGGAATGATTGGGACATTCATCCTGATTAGTTGGATTATCTTTATAAATTAATCTATTGGTTCTTGCTAAATGTACGGTACTAGTCCAAATTATACATAAATGCCCTTTTAATTTTGAAAATCTTGTAAATTTTCTCTGCTACAATAAATATAATGAAAATTTTCTTCCCTTCTTCAGAATCATTTCTGTAACACAGTAAGTTTAATCTTGCTAAATATTAGGCATGAAGAAGATTCTGGAATGCTGGTTTTCACATTAAATATATTACCGCAGTCTATTCTTTCAGCAAACCAACTTAATGGAAGATGTAATAAACATAGACATTAGGATTAAACAGTACTCTGCGTAGTGTTCCAAGCTCTCTATTAGACGCCATGCTGTCAAATTACACCAAAATGCTGATCTTACTTGTGTGCTCTCTAAAATCAGCTTCTGAAACATTTTAATGTGAATTTAACACAGGAAAAAAATCTATACCAAATCATAGTCTAAAATCCTAAACCTTACAGTGGGCTAGCATTTGCTACAGAACCTGTACTGTAATTAGACTGAGCTTTTGAACTTTCTTTGAATATTTAATGAAATGAAA